ATACGATACCTGTCCTCCGAAAATGTTCAATAAACAGATCAATGCTTTAATGAAAGTTATGAAGATGCATCTCCCCGAATTCTTATTGGATATATGATATTATATAGGGGTCAGAGAGACACCCAAATTGCCGAAATTACAAGTACTTTATCCAGAATACGTGCCTCGACAGGTTGGAGTCCTCGGTGATTGTAGGGTGTTCTATTGTATGTTCATTGAGCAGTTGTCCCAAGGAAAAGATGTATATTGTGCTGAGCCGACAGACCATCATACGATGTTATTTCGTCAACGTTTGGCATCTCTTTGTATGCAACCTGTATACCTTAGGTGTAATAAAATGTTTCTATGGTGTAAATGACATTGTAAATGATCTTCACTAATAATTGTGTAAATGACACTTATGCTACAATCGTCTTGATGAACAAAAACATCACAATTACTAAAAAAGAAATCCAACTTATCACCAACATCATCTTCAACCGGCGAGCTTGTAAAACAACTTCAATTAGGGAAGCTTCAAGATTATTTTTTTATCTTAATAACCCTGAAATAATTACTACAAATCTAGGACACATGGGTGAGTCAAGCCAATCAATAAATCCACAATTTCTTCCTTGTAAAAAAATAAGGAATATATATATATATATATATATATGTGTGTGTGTGTGTGAAAACACAATTATATGTGAATGTTTCATATAGGAAAACACTCACATGTAATGAACAACAAAAGAATCAACGTCATGAGTTGTAATCGGTTCATGATGTTCGGATGATTGCATAAACGATATAGTTGCAATGTCTTGCCATTTTTTAGCTACTGAGTTGAGAGTGAATGAATATTTGATGGTGGAACAAGTTTGTGATGAAAAACAAGGTTATTTATGGGGAAATATAAGGGGACTTGTCACATCATCACCATTTAAGTACAATAATTTAGAATAGTTCGAACTAGAAACATTGACAACAACAATTAATCGAGCTAGGAACATTGACAGCTAAACTATGACTTGATGCAACTACATTTTATCATGCGGATATAGTGATTTAATTTTTTCTATTCCTTTTGTGTTTTTTTCAATGTATGCTCCATTCTACCTAATGTTTTTTTCCAATCTCCCCGCATGCAAGTTCGAACCATGCATCATGGTTCAGTTTTTCCTCATCTTTGATTTTTCTTTCTTGTATCAACAATCCAACACTGTTGATGCTTAATTTGTTGTTTTGAATAAGCAATTCATCTCTTCCTCTTGTTCATCTCATGTTTAATCTTCTCCTTTTTGGAACCAAGTTTCGCATGTTGTTCATGTAGTATATCCAATTTGAGTTAGCAGTTCTTGATATCGTCCCTCGCATCATCGGGCATTTTCAGTGGTAGTTGGCTTCTCCACCATTCTTCTCCCATCCTCTCCTACTCCTCGTCCGTCCTTAGACGTTTAAAATTAGAACTGGAAGAGCTTCCGTCCATTGTTATAGAGAAAATATGAAAATATAGCAAGTAATAAGTCTTATAATGTCAACCCATTAAATAGGGACATATAGAGAATAACACTATGACATGGTTGGTCCCTGAAACTATACTAATTTACACCAAGTTCATTGCAAATTTATGACCCGATTTGACAACACAATGACAGCTAAAGGGTAGGGACGATAGTACATTGGTAGGGGGTATAGGTCAAGGTTTTAGGATGAATCTTGGAAGCTTTAAAGACGAATATTGTCAGACACAATTTAACACTTTCATGGCAAATTTATGACCCGATTTGACAACACAATAACATCTAAAGGGTAGGGGGCGATAGTACATTGGTAGGGGGTATAGGTCAGGGTTTCAAGACGAATCTTGTAAGCTTTAATGATGAATATTGTCAGACACGATTTAACACTTCCATAGAAAATTAATGACTCGATTTGACAACATAATAATAGCTAAAGGGTAGGGGCGATAGTAGATTGGTAGGGGGTATAGGTTAGGGTTTCAAGACGAATCTTGTACGTTTTAATGAGAAATATTGTCAGATACGATTTAACACTCCCATAGCAAATTTATGACCCGATTTGACAACACAACGACAGCTCTACAGTAGGGGTGATAGTACATTCCTATGGGTTATAGGTTAGGGTTTCAGGACGATTCTTGTAAGCTTTAATGACAAATATTGTCAGACATAATTTAACACTTCCATTGCAAATTTATGACCCTATTTGACAATACAATAACAGCTAAATGGTAGGGGCAATAGTATATTGGTAAGGGGTATAAGTCAGGGTTTCAAGACGAATCTTGTAAGCTTTAATGACGAATATTGTCAGATACGATTTAACAAGTCCATGATAAATTTATGATCCGATTTGACAACACACGACATCTCTATGGTAGGGGAGATAGTACATTCCTAGGGGTTATAGGTTAGTGTTTCAAAACGAATCTTGTAAGCTTTAATGACGAATATTGTCATACGCGATTTAACACTTCCATGGCAATTTTATGACCCAATTTGACAACACAATAACATCTAAAGGGTTGGGGCGATAGTACATTGGTAGGGGGTATAGGTCAGGGTTTCAGGACGAATCTTGTAAGGTTTGGTAGGGGGCGATAGTGTATGAATAGGATGCCTTGTGAAACCAAATTTCACAACTTCATACGGACTATATTAAATCTTATACAATTACTTGTCCACTTCTTGCAAGAACTGGCTGGAAACCAATCATCATCAAACCCTCCGTATTCTTAAACCATGCCTACCAGGATGAAGAAATCCATAGAAAAAGATGAAGCGGAGATCAAGGAGATCAATGATGATTGGTGGAGAAACAGAAAGAAGTAGAGTAAATTAGAGGAAACGATCGAAGAGAAGAAGAAGACAATAAAACAATTACAGAAAGAGATTCGAGCTAAGAAAAAACTTTCGAATGACATAGCGAAAGAGTACCCTGTGATCCAGGAAATGATCAATGAAAAGCAGTACTGGATTGAATCTTGCAAACAACTTTATCCAGAAGGAAATTAGCAAGCATGTTATTTAATGTTGTTTTCATTGATGTTTTCATGGTAATGTTATGTATGAATGTTGTTGTTTTGATTGATGTTAGCTATGCAATGTCTATGTATTAATGGTTAATGTTCATGTATTTCTCAGTCAAACTGCCATTTAGTATTAAAACAACAAAGCTACACCTTACAAACATACAGTTACTTAAATCATAATTATCAAATACATAGTCTTGTGTAGTATCAGGTTGAGACGGACCATAATCGGTTGGTCGACTAACTAATCTTCGACGACTACTTGAATTTATGTGCATCGGCCTAGAAGCTGGCATCAGACTTGGATAGTTACAATGAAAATGTCCAATTTGGTGGCATCGACTACAAGTTTTCACTATTGGTTCCTCGTCTCGTGACGGGATACGATCACAGTTACATGGTCTGCCAGAGTTTTGTATGTCCAAGGTAGGCGATAGGACGGTCATACGTTCGTTGGACAACACATATTCAGCTTCTGGTGGAAGGGGATTTACTTTCTCATTGTATGTTGCACAATAAGAATCGAAGCTGAACTAAACAGAACAAATTGTTCTTAAGAGTTAAGGGTTATGATAATAGAAGTGATAAATAAGGTGTGAAGGAAAATAATGAGAGGTCCATGCTATATATAATAAAATTTGTTGCACTGAAAGACGAAATAAGAGTTAACAAGAAATAGGTTGGATCGCCCCCGGGCGAAGATCCGGGGTTAGGTGGGGGCGATCCCACTTTTCAAGTTAAGCAATGTTTTGTCTTCTAAATCCATCACATGTGGACCCAACAAATTAATTTAAAATTATTTTTTTAATATTCTTTTGGTCAAAGAAGGAAGAGATCACCCATGGTCAAACATGCCCCATAAGGGCCATCCCTTAGGTCGTTTTAGAATTTCTAAAAAAATGACTACTTTATAAAAATATGATTATGGTTATTTTGGTAAAGTTCCCTCCTTAAAAATATCATCTTATATGAACCGGGTCGGGTCGGGTCGGCATGCTTACATGTGAGAGGCTTTTGCCAGTTATTGCCTCCCTCTGGCCATCCCTTCGTTGCTTACTAAACCCTAGCAGCTATCGTCGTATCTCGATTTGCGCTAGCAGTCAGGTATGTATTCTTTTCACCGCGAAATTATTGCCTTCTTTTTGTGTGTGTCCGTTTGAGCTCTGCAACAACATGTAAAGGCTAAAAGAAGTTGATTTTGCGGAAAAAATGGTGTATGTATGTGATGAGTTACAAGCATTTATTAGAGAAAGCAAAGTAAATGCAACATATATTTGTTACTTCCTTTCTTTTTGTTGAAATAGCATGTAGAAGTTCAAAAGAAAAAAATGATTTTTAGGGAAAAAAGGTTTACACAATAGCATAATGTTACTGTTACCAAATCAATGGAAGAGGATAGAAAGACTTTTTTAAGTCAAAGAGCTGTTTAATCAGTATTTTGTCATTGCGTTGTTTACAAATTTTATATTTTTTGATAATTACTTACGAGGGAACGACTAAACATGACATATTTGTTCGTAATCTTAGAACTTCATGGTTTTTGCGACCCAGAGATGGGTTATAGACATGCCTTGATCCATAACCTTGAAATTTGTTAGAAAACTAGTTATACCAAGCTATGCTGTTATATCGGTCAGAATACAAAATATCGATCATGACCGATATATCGGCTATATCGATGATATATCAGTCCAAAATAACGATTAACATAATATTTTTTAGAATTATATATAATATACATTAATTAAAATTTAAAAATATAGTTTCAAAATTAAAACATCACATCATCTGAAGTCGGCAACAGCCCGGGGCGACGGCCCAAGGGGTGACGGCCGCAGCATGAAGCCCATCAAAATTTGAAAGCCCAATGTATATATGTATATGTAGGTTCAGTTTTCATTTTGGGCCTAAAATAAGTACGTCCATCTTCTCGCCTCTTGCAGTCTCGCTCTCTGCCTGACTCTCGCCTCTCGCAGTCTCGCTCTCGCATGTGGCTGCCCTCTCTCGTCTGCGGCTACCCTCTCTGGCTCTCTCGTCTGCGGCTGGCCGGCTGCCTGCCTGCATCTCTCGTCGGCCGTCGCTCTCTGCGAGTCTGCGGCTCTGCCTCTCGCTACAGACTTGTGAGGTTAGCTGTAGCCTGTAGGGACTTAAATAACTTACTAACTTAGGGTTTACTTATTTACTTTACTAATTTTATTTTTTAAGTTTCTAATTTAGTTGTGAAATTGCAAAACCTAATAATGAACARAACTACAGAAGCTGTGAAATTGCAAAACCTAATAATGAACAGAACTACAAAACCTAATTACTTATTTACTTACTGTGAAATTAGAAACAAATGACAACCATTTCTCGAGTATAATGTTAATGATTTAGATTGTTATTTGAAGATTTGATAATTTTGTTTAGATTAGGGTTATTTTGTTTAATTGTTTAGTTTAGGTTAGGGTCATTTAACTTATCTTGTTTAGTTTAGGTTTACCCAAATGTTAAAACTTTAATCATTATATAGCAAGAGCCAAAACCATAAAAACTTGTTTCTTGTCGACAATAGGTTCATTATGCATTTCATGGTAAGTTGTGTATGTTATCAAACTTATCTATACCCTGGTAGTAAGATTGATATTCCTTATTTCTTTAATCCCARCCTAGGTACGGGAAAAGAGGTAGAGGAAAGTAATTTGCTGCAGAAACTATCAGAAGCTTGCATTGTTGATTTCTCTTAGATTGACTCTTCAACTGCACAAGTAAGTTTTTTTGTTCATGGGTTTCAACTGAAGTTTTGCTGTTCATGGCATAAGTTCTATACTTCTTATGTTTGTTTAAAGTTAAATGAATACTATTGTTATTAATTGATCTAGTTGTTCATCGAATCAATCAAACCTATCTTTGGAGTTTTAGTTCTTCATTCTGTGATTAATATTCAAGTTATCATCCACCGCTTTTTGTTCTAATCCCATTAGTTTTTTATGTATATTAACACAATTTCAGTAGCTATAATATAGTTGAACAAACCTATAAATGTAGATTTCCCTCACTTGAATGTGCAGTAGCTAATTCACTTGACTGGTCTCCCTAAACTTTGCAACTTTACATATGAAACTCATGATTGTCATTGGTCAAGACCCTAAATATTATTATATGAAACACATGATGGACTAATGGAGTCATGCAATAGCTAATTTCATAGGCAAATACCTTAAGTACTAAAAAACACTAATGTGTCTCTCGGTCTATGAAGGAAAAAGCTAGACAATTGTAAATTACCGCACTTGGATGTTTTTAATTGGGCATCATTTGGACTTTTCGCCATGGGCATAAAAAATCTTAGGGCCGGCCCTGTCTAAAGTGTTCAAAAACGAGCTAATCGTAAGCAATAGGTTCGGCATCCGAGAAAAGAAGCCAAACCGTGACTTCGTGAGAAGTCTGAAGTTGTGAGAAGTCTGAAGTCGTGATTCGTGAAGTGAACTAGGTGTCTGTGAAGTGTGAAGTCGTAACTCGTAAAGATGAAAAGAAAGGAAGAAGACCGTTGGAAGGCAGACTATTAATTTCAGACCTAATAATATATGTTACCAAGGCCAAAAAACTAAGCCCATGAAATAACAAAAGCCCAAATAATTGAACCCTAAAAAATCGATATATCGGTCCGATATATACATCAAAATATCGGGAAAATTTGGAAAATATCGGGGACGATATTTTGATCGATATTTATGCAGCGATCTTTTGCCTAGGTCCGATATCCGATATATCGCGATATTAACAGCATAGATACCAAGAGGATGATACTCGTAGATTATGTATTTCCTCCCTTTGCTGCTGCACTGTAAAACCAACCAAGTTTATGCGGTTTAATTATAAGTTTAGTGGCAGCACTTAGCGAACTATGATGTTTTTCAGTTTTGAAAGAAGAAACCATAATGTTTACCATTCTAACAAAGAAACTATGTTGTTTTGCAACTCCTGTGATGATTGCTTTTTTGGCTTTGTTTATTGATTATTGATTGTGATGAGTCAATTTTGAGAAATGTAATGCATGGCTATATTTGAAGGCTGATGTTGAGGGAACTAATTCCTTTTTGAAGGCAATGATATTCTACTTGAGATTGTGTCAACATGGAAGTAGTCAGTTAGGATTTTGCTAAATTGTATATTTCTGCAAAAAATTGATCGTTTAAGTAGCTTGTCCAAGTTTTAGGATGAGTTGCAGTCTGTACATTTGGTTGGCTACGATTCATCTGGTTGGAGGTTCTCTTATAACAATACCCTAAATATTTGTGTTATTATCTGTAAAAATAGGAGTATAGGACCATGGTAATGCTGGTAACAAATGAAAGATAGGATCTCATATGCCTATAGAATATAGCTACTATTATAGTGGTTGCTACATCATTATATCTGATGCCTAATAAATAGACAGGTCCTTTTAAAAATTTGACTCTCCCACACACTCATGGGTATGTATATATATCACCATTAGTTCTCTTCTTGGATTCTCTTTTTATTTTCTTACATTATTTAAGACTGGAAGCAATATTTTATGTGTTAACATTACATTCTTTTTCTTTGCAGGTCATTCATTATCAGACAGTCAAGCATTACTTAGCTTTGTATAGTTTCTATTCCATCAGCAATTATGTGAGTATATGCTTAATTCCTTGTAATTCTCTTTACTCCGAAGATTAGTTAGAAGTGTTTTTACTGTGTAGAGCAAGTATTTTTTGTGATTATTAAAAGCAAGATTGCGCTAATATATTACGCTAGCATGCTATTAGTAAAAACCTAGATGCAAGGAATATTGCCACATATTGTAACAGAAATAACCTAATTTTGTATTCAAATCTTTTGAGCTGTTTTCTGCTATTTCAATGTCTGTATGCTTTTCTATACTATATTAGAAAGCATTTGACAAAAACTCTTAAAAACCATTTCTATACTACCATATAAAACAAATTTATCAAAAGTCTTAAAAACAATTTTTAATGCACAAAGTACTATACATTTATGCACAAAGTCTTAAAAGTCTTAAAAACAACTCATAATGCATTAAGTACTACCACTTTATACGTTCAGTCTTAGAATCTCTTAATCTACAATTAAAATAACATATAATACAAGTTACCAATGCACATTTATTACTTTTTCTTTTTATGTTTCCAATATACTTTTGACACATTTCACTCATGTCTTCATCCTTTCATACATCTATGTCTTCTTCCCATCCCCCAAGGTGAGATTCAAAATTAAATTCACCATGAATTATTAAAAGTTCTCTCATTCATCTCTCATTCAATTGTTCTAGAACTCTCGGTCTCGTTCTCGATCTCTTGATTTTTTTGCTCTTGGTGTACATCGAACACATTTGTGGAGTCATTTAAATGTGTTGGATTTTAAATTTATTGGATTTTAAATTGTCATACAATTTTTTTCTTCAGTAGACTGTAATTAGAACCACAAGACCAGTGAAACTTCAAAATCGTTAAATCTTCTCTAATAAAACCAGTGAAACTTCAAAATCGTTAAAATTTACGGCTCCCGCCGCATTGCGCGGGTACACAACTAGTTTTATATTATAAAGCATTTGACAAAAACTCTTAAAAACCATTTTTTATGCATGAAGTGCTGTATATTGATGCATATTACTTAAAATTCAAAATTACAAGAAAATTACGCATAAGTACAACTTATTAAAGCTCCATGTTTGAATTCGTGTGACTAACAGCGGATAAACATAATCAAATTGAGGATAAACATCTCATTTTAAAATCTAAAAATCTAAAATATAATTAGGATAATTATCGAGGTATAACAAAATAATTAATTATTATTTTAAAAAGAAAATTATATTATTAAACCAAATATAAATTACTTCGTTATTGAATCTAAATTAAATTATAATAAAAAAATTGAAATAAAAAATTATACAAAAAATTGGAATTTTAAATAGTTAATTTGATACTAATATCGATATATATTTGTCAATTTTTTATGATATCTTCAAGTTTATATTTTATTCAAAAATAAAAACATCTTCGCTTTTTCAAAATCACATAAGACCATACTATAACATCGACTAAGATAATGAATAAAATGAAATATTAAAATCAAGATGTATCTCGCATTGTGCGAGTACCCTTCTAGTTACTTGTAAATATAACAGGCTGGGGCAGAAAAGATGTGAATTCATACCAAACCATACCAAAAGAAACGCACTTGGTATATGAGTATATCCCACTAGAAAGGAGGATGCGAATTCATACTGTGTTGTGCAAATTCCGTACATATGCTTTCAAAACGCACTCTAAAACGAAAACCTGGTTATGTATTGGAGAACTGGACAACAAACCAACCATGCTTAAGTTGATACCATCATTCTCATCGTTCCTTAACTTCTCTGTGAAAATACATCAAAGGTGCAGCCATGTCATATATTATTAAGTCCATTCTCTGCTTAATTGCTGAAGAGACTACGTACTAAAATGTGTTCAAATTCAGTTTGCAACTTTCACCATGCATATGCTTTCTTCCCAAGTCACTTAACATTAAGGTGCTACTCTACATAATTTCTGATTTCACCCTGAACTTACAATGTGACTAGAATTGAGTTCTGCTGCATATGTTGGGACTTCAGTATTCAGTTTTATAGTTATGTTCAAAGTGGCCTTGTTATTCATGTATATTCAGACCATTTCCGAAAATTTGGAGAGACTGGCTAGTAAGTGGTGGCTTGAATCCTTGATGACCCATGGCAAAATATGGGAAACTAATCTCATTGTTTTGACAGTAGAAACTTGCAAAGATCTTGCTTCATAAGATCAACAAAATACACATGATTTTGTCCACCGTTTTCTGTATACATTCAAATCAGTGACTTATAGTTCCATAATAACTTCATAGCTCCGAATATTAATTTTTGATGTATCTCCTAGCCCCTAGGCATTGCTTTCCTTTTCCATCAACTTTTGGAAGAAGTTTTCAGTTCCTCTTTTCTTTCCTACGTCATGTTCAGGAAAAAATTCTATTATCACGACAAAATTGACTTCTGAAAGTTCTTCATTAGTACTTCCATATAAAGGATATGTTGCTGCACTCTACTTCTTAGATCTTCTTTCTATTTATTTGTAGCAATTATCATTTCCTCTGTTCCATCATGAGTCTCCAGTTTGAAAGTCAAACAGTCTGTATTCAAAATATGTATCTATGTATTATTATTAGAAAATTGTAATCACACAAAACCATATGAAAAGAGCACAAATTTGAATTCTTAAAAATATTTACGAAATTGGTATGGAATTTAATTTGAGAAGTGCTCTTTGATGTTCCAAATAGAAAGGACATTATGATGGAAATGAGTGGGTAAGATGAAGTCACAGGATATGATTTGTTCTCTTGTTTCTCCATCTTAATAAGATTCGTTTGTGAAGGTCTCGGATATGTGTCAAAAATTTGCCAAAGCATGCAACAGAGGAACGCCTTCGAGATTATTTCTCTCAGAAAGGAGAAGTGACTGATGCCAAGCTCATGCGGACCAGGTATCTCACTTAATAGTTTTCAGTTACAAACATGTTGAACATTAAACATGTTTTTTTTCCCAATACATTTGACTCTCTGGCTCTTGTAAGTTCCCACAGTATTAAATAACTATTGAAGTTAATATTCTTCCAGAGATGGTAAGAGCAGACAATTCGGCTTTGTTGGATTCCGGAGTGAGAAAGAAGCTGCAGAAGCTCTCAAATTCTTCAATGGTTCTTTCATGGATACTTATAGGATTACTTGTGAGGTGGGTGATTGGCTTGACAATTCATGTTCTTGTCTTCGCATTTCTTCAGTCATATTTAGTAACTAAAACAAAAGTTTGTTACTTATTTCCCCCTTCATTGAGGTTGATAAAGTACAAGTTTCTTTTCTTTGCATTTAATCCAACTAATAGATATATGTGCTTTCTTGGTCTTCAATAATTTTTTGTGATTCTTGAATAATGATCAATCATAATTAACATGCTTTCGAAAAGCAGTTGAAGAACTATTTATATATTGTCTAGATTGATTCATACCATGATCAATGTTAGCACGTCATGCAGGATTGTTGCTGCAGTTCCGGCTGTTATGTGCTTGACACCCACAATTTATAACAGAACAGAAGTTATTTAAATTGGGTGATGTGCTCGTATGTTATTCAATAATGTACTGGATGCACAATTCTTAAAAACACGTTCATCTGAAAGAGATGCTTACGTCCAGCATGTAATAACACTAGAGACCACTTTATGCTTTTATTGATGCTAATTCGTTCTGCCCATTTATTTGGTGATCATAGCTGCAAAGAGCTTAATCAAAATAAGTATATTTCTATGTTCAGATTGCTCGCAAGGTTGGGGATCCAGAAATGTCACGTCCATGGAGCCGGTATTCTCTGAAGAACCAAGAGAAGTCTGTTGAGAAAAAGGAATCTGTTAGTTCTGTAAGGTCAAGTGGCAAAGTTACGGCTGAGGTGAAAAATGACACCGAGAATGGTGACCTTCAGTTTCAGGAGTTCCTTCAGGTCATGCAACCCCGTACAAAATCGAAGTTATGGTCGAATGATCTTCTGGAAGCCGCCCCTTCTGGGGACCAAGGAAAAGATAGTAAAGCGGAAGGCAAAAAGCAGTTGCATTCAAAATCTGCCAAGTTGGATGAAATCAATGATAGACCAGATGGGGTTTCAGATGATCGAGTTGCTGAGAGGGCAAGTAGTGTGGAGCATGATAAAGCTGTCTCAGATATGGATTACTTTAGAAGCCGGGTAAAGAAAGATTGGTCAGATACAGATAGTGATGATGATGTGAATGGGGATGTAGAGGAGGTTGAGAATGATGATGACAATCTCAATAAAAGAATCAACAATCCTGGTATTCAAAAAGGCCAGGGAAAGGGGCAACTTGATTTTCCTAAAACAGATGCTGAAGAGACTGTGGATGATGGGTCAACTGAAAAACTTGGTGACATGGATCATGTGGATGAACCATCATCAAGTTTAGAAGATGAAGATGATGTCCTACAAACTGGTCGTCTTTTTGTTCGTAATCTGCCATATACTGCTACGTATGTATCTTGTCTTTTTGTTTGTAATCTGCCACATACTGCTATGTATGTTTCTTGTCTGATTGAAATTGTGACAAAAAAATCCGCAGATCTTTGAGATCATATTTTCGTGCTGCTAAAATCCACTGACAACATTACCTAATTTTTTTGTCCTCTAGCTAATTCAGATCATGTTGATGCTTTGTTAAACAGGGAAGATGATCTACGAGAGCACTTCAGCAAGTTTGGCAGCGTATCTCAAGCCCATCTTGTGGTTGATAGAGATACAAAGCGATCAAAGGGGATTGCTTACATTCTCTATGCACTCCCAGAATCTGCAGCTAGGTTTTTCATATTTCTCTGCCCCAGTTTTCTATTTTTAAAGTTTGCACTTCTTATTCCAAAAGCATGTGACTGTGCTTAGATGGTATGATTATAAGCTTCCAATGCCATAGTTTACGATGTCACACATTATTTGAAAATTTCTAACTTGGTTATTTTATGTTGATAATGAGGCTTCTAACTGAGACCTGTATAAAAAACAAAACCAGCTGTAACTTGGACATTTTCTCTGCGGTCTTGCAATGTGTATGTGCAGTCTTGTTAGAAATTCGATAGCAAGAGACAACATGTGTCTATCTTCAAATTGTTATACACTGATAGCAAGTACCTGTCTATTTTTCTTTGTACATGTCATAGTCCTGCTAACTCCTAATGCTATGAAAGTTGCATAAGCAAGAGTTTTACAATAAGTTTTCATTGCAATTAAATTGAATTCATTTAATTGTGTTCACCATGCTTGAATTTTGGTTTTGTTAGTGTTGTGATTTTATAGTTGATTTGTACAGGGCACTAGAAGATCTGGACAATTCTATCTTTCAAGGAAGACTACTGCACATTATGCCAGCAAAGCAGAAAATTATTCCTGTGAAAAAAGAGTAAGCATCATTATAGCATCTTTTTTTTATTGTTCTTTACCAAGCTCATGTAATGAATTTTTTACATCCGTTCTACCGTCAAGGTTGAATGCTTGGTAAGGGGTTGTAGATCTGGAATGCTTATCTTGCAGCCTTTGTGAAAATTTTAACAAATTATATCATATTTTTTTTGGATCAGTGATTCCGCCAATCATTCAAAGACATTTAAGCAACAGAGAGAGGAAAAGAGGAAGAAATCTGAAATTAGTGGAGATACAAGAGCATGGAACAGTTTATTCATGAGACCAGATACTGTATGACCCAGATTTTTCTTGATCTTCTTTGAAGCTTAATTTCCCTACTGCTGTTTTACAATTTCTGGTGTCTTAAGAAAACATGATGTTGGTGATTGCTGTCTACTAAATCTCCGTGATGTCAACTGCTATGTCATTGAGAATTTTTTATATGAATTGTTCTTTTAGCATGTTAAATTAATAACTATTGGTAAGTTGCTTATTTTTTGTTCTAATTTTGCTAGAAATGATGTCAATCATTTTTATAACTATTACTATGCATATGCTCGTCTTAATACCTTTTGACTTTTTGATCAACTATTTGAGGCTATTTGAAATTGAGTTAGTGTTATCCTGTTAGAAGGCCAGCATTAATCCCTCACGTTTTTTCTTTAGTACGCTTTTTATGAAATGAGCTCCGAAATTGTGCTTTGCCGCCTTGACTTTTCTAATGGTGCAGTGGAGAAAAGGTAAGGACCATTTGTGCTAGGGCACAAGGTGTCACCATGGCACACCAAAGATTCCCTTTTAGTTCATTCTAATAGCTACCATTGCAACATCATTTTTAACCCCAGAATGGCATCCAAGCCTTGCTTTTAACTTCCAGCTGGTGCTCTAACCTTGGCAGCAACTTGTAGTTGGCATGCCAATTGAAAAGTTAAGGATTAGTAATCTTTTCATTTGACCTGCTAAAGGTTATTCCATTTTATGATTCCAAATCAGGTGTTTCAGTGCCTCTTCTCTGCTTTGGGATCTATCTTCCATGTTCTACTTTGTCATAGAATACGCTCATTTCCAAATCAGAATAGGTGGACAGGTTCGGAGTGACGTATTCTTCAGTTTGTGATTATAAGTTTTACCATTTGTTTTTGTGGAACTTAAATTACATTTCTGAAGAATACATGTATATTTTTATTCTTTGCGATGCAATTTTCTTTTTTTGCTGGTGCTTTGCTGGTAACACATGCTGTGACTATTTGATTGTTGGGATATATTCTAAGACTCTAGGGGGTTTGAGTGATGTGCTAGTCCAATAAGAGCACTATCATGCTTACTCTTCTTTTTGGTTTATAGGCGGTTAAGTAGAATAGGCACTCCTTGATATGTTCTGTTTGAATTCTTTCTTGGGCGATCAAATGCTAAGTGCTAATATTTTCTATATGGCAAGTGATATAATTCATTTATTACATGGTTTATTCATATGTATAAAAGCTATCTAAAAGTTCAACATGTTTCTCATGTTATCATATCCTTCAAATTTTATTTTCTGAAAATGCTACATCACTTGTCATGCTTCATGTCATATCTGTTTGCTGCATCCATCGGCATTGATGTTTGTTGATTACCACATTCTTATAAGAGTACTACGAAGTTGTCTGATTTTGGTAACTTGTTTTTGTCACAGGTTGTCGAAAACATTGCTAGGGAATTTGGTACAAGTAAAAGTGAACTACTTGATCGTGAAGCCTCCGATGTAGCTGTACGTATTGCATTGGCAGAAACTCAAGTGATTGCAAAGACAAAAAAGGCTCTTGTAAATGCTGGTATTAACGTAGCTTCGTTAGAGAATTTTGCCAGTCAAAAAACAGAGGGTGTTAAAAGAAGCAACCATGTTATACTGGTTAAGAATCTGCCCTATGGTTCTTCTGAAAGTGAATTGGCTAGCATGTTTGGAAAATTTGGGAGTATTGACAAAGTTATTCTCCCTTCAACCAAAACTCTGGGCTTGGTATGTTATTTGGGCTTCAGTATATATTCACAATATGCTAGAATGAGCTATTGCCTTTTGAAGTTACTCATTAGTTGATGTTATAAACCATCAGGTGGTTTTTCTTGAACCTGGTGACGCTCGTGCAGCATTTAAAGGTTTAGCGTACAAGCGGTACAAGTAAGTTCATGCTTATTAACAATTGGACCAACTGCTTTTTATTATACATTGTTGGAGCAACCGCTGATTGAAAGGTCATGAAACTGTACTCTTGCAGTATGTGGTCTGTTTCCATGATTCAAATCCATAAGGAGTAACCTTACCAGGCTAACTCTCATTATTACTTGCGGCATAAAGTTACTTGGCTCTATCGGGCTTTATCATCTATTCTATGTATGAAGTGCATGTTTTTTTTCCTTCAAGAAGCAATCTCTACTTTCTCCATTCTCTTGTCTGTTTCAGCTTGATATTTCTTCTGTTTCATATTTGCGTTTGAGGTAATTTGGATTTTAGTAGGAGGTTAAAAATCTTGATATTTGAGCAGTCAAATGTCTTTTTATGTTCACAAGCCTTGTGACAAAGGCCATATTGAGCAATACTCCCTCCAGCCCAAAAAAGTTTAAATTTGCAAATATTATTTATTCCATAAAAGAGGCTTGTTTTTTATAAATATTTTGAAGATTAAATAAATACTGTTTTTTTCCGTATTTCAATCATGTGTGATGTTTTCTTTAAACGTCTGTTAGATTTGCTTGTGGACTCTTTTCTCATAATGGTGTATGATGGTCTGCTAAGTGCTAGGCATCATTCGTTTTTCATATTTTGAGCGACCACCTAACCTTGCTCTACATTTTCTTAGCAATCTTTTTATCATGTTTGTACACTACTCATTCATACCTTGTCTATTTTATCGGTTGTATTATATGTTATGCATGTAGTTGCCATCTTTGTCTCTTTTAGTACAATAGTGATCTGATAAATAATTAGTTGTAGAAAGAATACTACCTCCGTTCCAGAATAAGTGTCCACTTCCAAAAATAGATGGTTATAATTTAGTAACTCTACCCTTAATTATGATGCACAAATACTTAGAAGTTGAGGAGATGGAGAGAGAGAGAGAGAAGGTTTGCATCACCCTCTATCATTAAGAGTAAAAGTGCCATTTAGTTAATTAAAAAGTGTAATAATACATATTTCTTAACTGTGTTTTTCTTATTGTGGACATTTATATTGGGAAGGAGGGAGTACCAAACGCAATCCTTCTTTTATTTGTCTCATCATATGTGTCATGTATTTCACTGCTTTATGCATCATGATTTTTTCTACCTTCGCATTTACTCCAGCACTGTCTGCATATTAGAGCTATTATATCCATTAATAAAATTATATTTTATTTTTTTATAATATTCAGAGATGCTCCACTTTATTTGGAGTGGGCCCCTGCTGACATCCTTAGTCAAGATCCAACGGCTGTTGCTGATGAAAATGAAACTTCAATTGTGGGGGAACACGAAAGCAAGCGAGCATTACTAGAGCAACAATTGGAAGGAACAGCCATTGCTGATATTGATACAGAACGAGTTGAGGTCTGTCCATGTCTTGCTTTCTGTAGATTATGTCAGAAGCTTTGCAACCATTTGATAGGACATAAAACGAGTTATGTTGATTAAATACAACCAAAAACTAACAATACCATAGATTCCTAAAGAAATATATGAATTTCCCTACCTTCTAATCGTTGCCCTACCCTCTATTTATAGTACATTATGTGGAATCCTGCTATAATAAGGAATCTATTGAAATATTTAAAATACTAATTCAGTTGGATATGATAACAATTATCCTTTACTTTCTTCATATGTTTTCTGGTTCTTATTATCATTCAACCCAAAAATAAGTGGTTCAGGAGAAAAAATTTCTTCGTACTTTGATGTAATCTGTGTTGTCTTTAACATTATGTTCTCTTCTCTTGATTTTATCAGTCACGGTCGCTTTTTGTCAAGAATCTGAACTTTAGAACCACCGATGAGATTTTGCGGAAACATTTTGTTGAGCACATTAAGGAAGGAAAACTCCGTAGCGTCAGGGTATTTATTTCTTTCAGCCCTCTACACACCTGCCTTAAGCACATTGCTCTACATTGCTTATCTCCCTGTCTTCTTGCAGATAAAGAAGCACTTGAAAAATGGGAAAAACGTCTCGATGGGTTTTGGATTTTTGGAGTTTGATTCTGTGGATACCGCGATACATATTTGCAGGGATTTACAGGTATGACATATTATATGGTATTCTTCATGTTTGCTCACACCCTTGCACAAGTTGAAGGTCTTCACAGGAATAGTCGCTCTACGTTTTGTGGTAGAGGTCGGGTCTGCGTATACCCCCAACCCTTCTTTCGAGTGGGATTTTATTGGTCGGTTTGGTGATTGGATGAGCCTGATGTTAACATACTCTGCTTCAGGGAACAGTTTTGGATGGACATGCTCTCATATTACAATTATGTCACGTTAAGAATGATGAGAGAGTGAAAGAGAAGGTGGACAAGGATCAAAGTTCAACAAAGTTAATTGTGAGAAATGTAGCTTTTGAGGCTACGGAGAAAGAGTTGCGGCAATTGTTTAGTCCATTTGGTCAGGTAAACATGACTAGACTACACAATAATCTTATACCTGTTTGCACTTTCGAAATATATTTTATTAAACTGTAGGTGAGAATCTAGGAACTTATTTGAGATCTACAAATTAAGAAGAATCCACCTTAAAAACTTCAGAGCCTGTAAGTTAGCTTGTGGAAGAATAATCTGTGATTAGGTGTTTTGAACCTTAAAGTTATCAAGAACACTGAAGATATTGGGCCTTGAGAGCTTAAAGATGCATTGTTATATGAGGTAGAAAACATGTAAGCGTTCGTTATACAAAATTTATTTTGGAAATTACCATTTTATAAAAAATCTGTAGGTGATTAAATGCATTGAATCTTTTAATAAAATAATTAATGTCATAATCTCCAAAATAAAGAAACTCTTGGAGTTGAATGTAATTTATTGGAGATTTTAATTTTGGTTCTCTATTTTGGAGAAATTACAAAGAAGCTGTTTGGAGATGCTCTTAAATAACTTTCTTAAGTGCAAGAAAAAAGCCACATACCAGCTTTCATAAAGCCAAGGAGTCTTCTGCACCATGGTTGCACTTTAAGCACTAGCTATCCTTCCACTGTTGTCACTTGAAACATGTTATATGTTTTGTTGTGTGATCTTGTCAAAAGCTTCGACATTTGTAAGCTACAACGAGCTTTCCTTAAATAGGTTCTTAAACATTTCTATGTATTTCCAGATAAAGAGTTTAAGGCTTCCAACAAGGTTCGGGAAGCATAGAGGTTTCGCTTTTGTCGAGTTTGTAACCAAGCAAGAGACAAAGAATGCCCTTCAAGCTCTATCAAACACTCATTTATACGGGCGCCATCTGGTATGCTACTTCACCTCTAATGAGAATTTTATGCTTCCTTCATGCCCTTAAATGCAACATTCGAAAGTTTTCATGTTTAAGTTTACGTATTTGTTCTTTATCATTATTCTGTAAAATGGGTATGACACCAACCTCTGAGCCCCCCAGCATACCGGTCTCACAGCCATTATGGGGAGGTAAACCGTGTGTCCCTTGGTCACGTGGTTGGTCCCTTGGGTCACGTGGTTGGTGGCTGGAGTCAAACCCGAGATAGGGTGCACACCTTCTTACCTGCTAGGATAAAGCTATTATTAATACAAACAGATTAAGCGTAACGGCTTGACTCCAATAGATTCTTAATGAAGTGTTTGGTACGTAGGACAGGTCACGACATGACAGAACAAAAACTTGTCCATATTTGGTGTGACAATTAGACTGAGACTGGACAGGACTGAGTGGGTGGGACAAAAATGCATTTTTTCGATCCCATCAAAATAGGTGCAAGTGTAATAAAAATAGGGAGATGGACAAGCTTTGTAAATTACTAAACTACCCATGTGAAATTAAAACCCTAAAACCTTCCAGACTTCTTTCGCCTGCCTACCTCACTTTCGCCCAACCAGTCCTATCTTGTCCAGCTCGCATACCAAACACACCTTAGACGGCATTTGTGTCGAAGAATATTTTAGATATACAATTAAAAGTTGACACCATCTTCTTAAACTACATGTCAGGTTTAACGTTACAACTTGTATTGAACAGATGAGTGGCTAAAACAAGTCCGAGGCTATAATCGCATGCCCAACTGACCAAATTTACTTGCAGGTGTTGGAGAGAGCCAAGGAAGGAGAGAGTTTGGAAGAGTTACGGGCTCGAACCGCTGCCCAATTTGTGGACGAGAGTACTAGTTTTCAGAACCCAACAAAACTTTCTCTAAAGAGGAAGCAACTTGATATCTAGGAAAGGATCAAGATGGAAACAAGGAAAGGTTGGTGCTTAGATACTAATACTATGCTCTTAGTAGCCAAGTTCAGTTTTGTAGAATGCTACATTGGAAATTAGGATCATTTTTGCATCTTTTTTTTTGGTGTTATTTTGTATTTCTTTCTTTATATACGTCGTCTAAATGTAGGCATGTCTTGAACTGTGTGTGCGGAGGAGTCTGGATTGCGCTATACGACCATCCAACGTTCTATGAACTTTGTATAAACATGTGGTAGCACTTAATTGGGTGTTTTATTACAATTTTTTGAAGTTGGACTTAATTTTCTTTTTAACTAGCAACTAAAAAGACCAAAATGCCTTGTTATTAAAATAGAATATTTTTGAACATGAGTTAACATAAGGGACTATTTGTAATGAATTACAAACCACGCTGTCATTATAGAGATACACAAACGATATAATAACTGATTTTGGACCGGTAAGGTTTGAAGACCGGTCTAAAACAGGACCAGTTAGAAAAGACCTGGCTCAAGGACCGCTTATAGACGGAAGCTCATTTTGGTAAGGCCTGAAGACCAGTCTAAATTGATTTTGGACGGGTAAAGGTTTGAAGGTCAGTTTTACACTTTTTATTGTAACTCTTTTTCTCATATGATCTTTCTCCTCTCTCTCTCCCTCTCTCTCTCTCTCTATATATATATATATACACTATATTATAAAACATTTAACAAAAACTAGTAAAAACTGTTTTTTAGGCATGAATTACTGCTTATTGATGCTTATTACTTAAAATTTAATATTACAAGTAAATTAGAGTTTCTGACAAAAATAACCCACCAAGTTTTTTAAAATTACATTTTGACCCTAAAATTCTAAAATTTAAAAGTTTAAAATTTTAACTATTTGGTGTGAACAGGGACTTTATTGTGCAAAAAAAAAAAAAAATTTACCATGATTTTTTTTATTAACCTGGATATCCAATCCGCTATGCGAGCCGACTAATCTCAGGGTGACTACCTGCTTTGCAGATAGTCCGGAGTCACTGCATTTGAACCTCTGTGGTCACAATGGGATTTTTATTCCTACTTGGATTTGAACCTGGGACCTCCTGGTACTTTTGATCTTTGGAGCCAAACTCAAACCAATCAGACACCACCCTTGTGGTTATCTGACCATGATTTTTTTTTGATTAACATGGATATCCAATTCGCTATGTGAGCCGACTAATCTCAGGGCGACTACCTACTTTGCAGATAGTCCGGAGTCACCACATTTGAACCTCTGTGGCCACAAGGAGATTTTTATTCCTACTTAGATTTGAACCTGAGACCTCCTGGTACTTTTGATCTTTGGAGCCAAGCTCAAACCAATCAGACACCACCCTTGTGGTTATCTGACCATGATTTGACATGGCCTGACCGACGCTTGCATACTCGTGACCACCCTTACGTACCATAGGGTGCATGATGCGTAAGGGCCGCACCCTATGGTCCAATTTTTTTTCTTTTTCAGTATTTTTCTCTTTCCTAATACAAAACACTATTCAATTTTGTTTTTTTTCCTCCTCAACCTCACTATATAAATAATTCAAATTTTATATTACCAATAATTTAATCTCCATTACCTTAATACAATCTTCATTACCTTAATACGATCACCATTACCGATATTTAATTGTCTACATCATGATAAGTTTACTTAACTTAATTTTAATATAATCTCATTTTTACAACAATCTTGTATATGTTGTTTTATAACCTCTTATCTTATATCTATCAGGGGGATTATTATGAAACATTTGTTAATATAAAATCAAGTATTGAAATTTTAAATACAATTTTGAGAGCATTGTGGAGGTCGGGAAACCGACTAGAAATGTTTAGAAATATTTTTTTTCGGTCATTGGCTGGATATTCGGTCAATACATCAAGATCTAATGCTCGTTCATTTGATGTTACAAATACAGGTGCCACCACTAGAGCAAGACCGTAAAGAGACATTGTATTTCAATGTAAGAGGACACCTTTTATGTTTTGGGCGAGAAGAATTTTGTCTCGTTACTGGTATGAAATTTGGTCCGAACAAGCCTTCGTTACTAGAGATAACAAAGCCGTCCTTTTTAGACCTTGATGGAAAATCGTCCGGTACGCAGGAGTGATCTTACCCGAGTTTTTGAACACCAAAAATTCGGAACAATAACAGATATTGGATGCCATACGTCTATGTCTTTTGCTTTTGGTTTCCAGTGGATTTATCAGTCAACAAACGAATCATATGTAAAACATCCTTTACCCATAACTCGAAATATTTTCAAAAGTGTATAGAAAAATTATTGCGAATTACCTAGAAGTGAGAAGAGGATTGATGCCTATCCATGTTAAGGAACTTGGTGACCACTAGGGAGTTGTTGACCGAAGCTATCGTAACTGTAATTAGGGGTGTTAAAGCAGACCGTTTTTGGCGATTTGAGCAGTCCAACGGTCCGGTCTGAAAATAGTCAAACCGCTTGGTATGGTCTGGTCTGGTCTGGTCTGCGGTTTGAACGTTCTTTTGAGCGGTTTGGACCTAACCGACCGCCAAAAGTATACATGTATTAACTATATTTAGTTTTTATGTTGTAGGCTTAACATTTATGGACCAATTAAAAAATGTTCATCCAAGACATTATGTTTTTAGTTTTCATTTATCAATTAATCACGTCATCTAAATTCAATAAATTTCTGAAATCTGTCAAAAGTCAAATCCAAAATTCTAAATCGTTCATTGACTTTACTAAATGTTTGTCTGAAACTCCAACTATTGTTGGTGGACTTGCAATTTTTTTCAATTTTAGAAATAGATGTTTCTTTTATAACTTGGTATACTATTTTTTAATAATGTTATACTTTCATTTTAAATATAAATGTTATGTTTTTTTTAGTTTAAACCCATAAGAAGCGCAAACCGCCTAAACCGGTCAGACCATACCGTCTTTTTGTGATTTGGCTTGACAGTTTTTGGGCACTTGCTGGCAAACTGCTCGGTTTGAAAATTTTCCTAAACCATCGTTACAGTTTGGTTTGTGGTTTGAGGGTTAAACCGTCCAAAACGGACCGTAAACACCTCTAACGGTAACAGTCGTAAAGTAGTAAAAATATCTCGTTGAGTAAGTTTTTTTTATTAAGCTGGATATCCAACCCATTATGCGAGCCGATTAATCCCAGGGTGATCACCTGCTTTGTAGATAGCCCGGAGTCACCGCATTTGAACCTCCGTGGCCACAAGAAGATTTTTATTTCTTCTTAAATTTGAACCTAGACCTTCTGACTTTTGACGTTTGGAGCCAAACTCAAACCAACCAAACACCATCCTTGTAAATCTCTCTCTTTACTATGTGTTGTAGGTGTTTCTTGAACCCAACAACCCAATGAAAACTCTAAAAATACCAACAACAGAACCCAATCAATATAAAGTATAAGAATTCTACTCACGTTATTCTTTCTTATTCAATCATCTGAATACACAAGTAAACACCTAACTTCATTAAAAATAGTATGATAATTGAAGGATATTTTGGTCTTTTTACTTATTTTTATTAAAAAAAAATCAAATTTGAAAAAAATATATTAGTATTTAATCACCAAACACACCATTAATGACTTGTTCATTACGTCAACAAGCATTATTTGTTTTATCCCTTCAATTTTAAACAATTGTCAGAAATAGAAGAATTGGATACATGATTATTGTAGTTGTTGTCATCTATACTATATTATAGAATATTTAATAAATAAAAAATTAAAAACCATTTTTATGTATGAATTATTACTATATATTGATGTATATTATATAAATTTTAAGATTACATGTAAATTATCTATAAGTACAACTTATTAAAGCTCTATGTTTGAATTCGTGTAACTAACTGCTGATAGACATAACCAAATAAAGGATAAACATCTCATTTTAAAATATAAAAATCTAAAATATAATTAGGATAATTATCGAGTTCTAACAAAATAATTAATTATTATCCTTATAAAAAACTTATATTATTAAACAAAATATAAATTACTTCGTTATTGAACATAAATTAAATTAAAATAAAAAAAATGAATTAAAAAATTACACAAAAAATAGAAATTTTAAATATTAAATTTGATACTAATATCGATATATTTTTGTCAAATTTTTATGGCATCTTCAAATTTATATTTTTATTCAAAAATAAAAACATCATCAGTTTTTCAATCTATATTATATTATAAAGCATTTGACAAAACTCTTAAAAACCATTTTTTATGCATGAACTACTATATATAGATGCATATTATTTAAAATTCAAGATTACAAGTAATTTACACATAAATACAACTTAGTAAAACTTCATGTCTAAATTCGTGTAACTAACTGCCGATAGACATAACCAAATAAAGGATAAACATCTCATTTTAAAATATAAATAATCTAAAATATAATTAGATTAATTATCGATTTGTAACAAAATAATTAATTATTATCTTTATAAGAAAATTATATCATTAAATAAATTATAAATTACTTCGTTATTGAACCTAAATTAAATTATAATAAAAAAATTGAATTGAAAAATTACACAAAAAATAGGATTTTAAATAGCTAATTTGGTAATAATATCGATATATTTTTGTCAAATTTGAAATTTTTATGACATCTTCAAATTTATATTTTATTCAAAAATAAAAACATCATCGCTTTTTTCTAAATCACATAAGACTATACTATAACATCCACTGAGATAAAAAATAAAATAAAATATTAAAATCAAGATATATCTCGCTGCATTGCACAAGTAACCTTTTAGTCCTTAAAAATGAAAACTGTGGGTTAGTTTAATTTAACTTGTTGTATATAAATATATATACTTCAAAAAAAATACATAGACTTGCAAGTTCTAAATTTTCTTGTGCTCGAGTGTTGGGTTGCACACGTGTTCGGTTGGTTGGATGAAGGGATTTGAACAACTCAATTGCAATGTTTGTGATTTGAAAAGTTTCAACCCAACCTAAATCGTCAACCGTGCGGATTGAAACTTTGATATATCATTTTGCAATTTAGCTAAGTGATTGTGTTCAAACAAAGTAAAATCAAAATAAAAATATACAAATAAGGCTGACAGAATTAAAAGACATTAAGATTATGCAAAATAAGAAAATAAAATTACGGTTGAAATTGTGATATAATTATGAACTAAACTAATTATTGATTGCTCTAATGTCTAATGTACATATATTAATTAAAAACTTAACAAACATAATAAAATTCACCATATATTTAGAGCGTTTTCAACAAATTCTTCGAAATGAAAAAA